GAGAGAGAGAGAGAGAGAGAGAGAGAGAGAGAGAGAGAGAGAGAGAGAGAGAGAGAAAGAGAGAGAGCAGGTAAGTCTCCAACAGCAGGGCCGACCTCATGGTACTTCTATTGATCTGATGAGCAAAATCGAATGAATCTACAGCTAGTACATGGAGATATACACTGCCACATTTTTTATTTTATTTTTTTTAAATCCAAATCCCCCCACCCGTAGTCCACCATGCGCTCATATGGCAGAGTGGGTCGAGTTCAACAGATTCGCGTCACGTGGAACACAGCGCGTTTGAACGCGTATGAACGTGGCCCAAAGCCGTTTGAATGCGAACGCACGTTCGGCGCGTTCAAATGGTCACATAGAGGCCTACCCAAGTCGGACAAGACAGACGGCGGAAAATGCGCGGCATGTCAACTGTTTCCTCGGGATGCATCAGGATACCGATGAAATCCTTATGGACAATGGAGCAGAATTTCGAGGGGAGGTCATGAGGAATCTAGTCGTACATGGGGTGTCTATTCGTAATACCCACCCCCACATGTCTCAATCGAACGGCCTTATAGAAAACGCCAACCGAGTAACTACAACGGCACTCGGACGGAATATCGCAGCTAGGGACACGCGGCAGTGGGCTGATATTGTAGTAGATCATATCCTGGCCATACACTGAGGGACCCCGCATGAATCCACGGGACTTTCGCCATTTCAACTGCGAACCAACAACCTAGCTTGTGTCTCGATACCGAACCTGAATGATGAAACGACACTCGGCCGACGTCCCACGAGAGCGACAGCCAAGGAAAAAGCCAAACGCCATTTGGAACTTATGGAACGGCCCTTCCCAGATTGGCCCGAAAAAGGCAGAGAATGACCGAATTGGCCCACGGACGCCAGGTCCGTAGTTACGAGGCCCGAAATGGGAATGCAGGCCCCCGGCCCTAGTATAAATTGGGGGACTTGGTGCAGGTGAGGAAATGTGTTTATCAAGGGAAACTAACGCCACTATTTTTCGGGTGCTTTCGAAGTTTCGAGTGGTCGAGATCGGGCCTAACGGTGTGAACATTGTGCGCCTCGCTCCCGAAGTGTCAAGTAGCCGATCTGCTAGACCCATAGTCCGCCACGTGTCCTATCTTCGCCATCTCCTTACTTCCTCCCCTCCCTCTCCAACTGGTTCGCCTTCGGAATCTGAGTCCGAGTGGGAAAGCGACGATCCCCATTCTCTTTCTTCTCCCCACTCGTCTTTTCCCTCCTCTGCGCTATGAGTTTTTCCACGGAGCAGGTACTCAGTGAGCGGATGCTAGCGCCACACGGGCACATCTCGGTGATCAGGCAGGTTCATCATCCGCGTATCAGCCCGGACGTCATCAAATTTGCTCATTTTTTCAGCACGGCAAGCGTGCATGCAGCAACCGAGTTCCGATTCGTGGTACCCAACAACAAGGCGCAAATGCTGGCCGAAGCATCGGCCTATCTGCGGCTCTCGGCGCCAAACACCAGCCACATTTCGACAGTTGTCTCCTTCAGCGGAGACATCACTACGGTGGATCCGAGGGCGCATCCGAGCATCCTCGTCTCATTGCGAGATTGGGGAGAGGAGTTGGCGAAATCGTGGAGTCGGCTGCTTGCGCGGCGGGGGGAAAAACATTTTTAATACTAATAGTATTGACCTGGACGGCATCCTTGCTCTCCGACAAAATCCCGCAGTATCTCTCCCTGCGCTCGTCGCTTTCTCGCGTCCTCAATGAACCGTCACAGGTTCTCTACCTTCAGCCTCCCCTCTGTCTTCCCTGTCTTATGGCAGTCGGCGCTCCATCCCCGTCTCTCTTTCTGCGTGCGACCATTAACAGTTCCTCTCATCAAGCCCGTACAGTGGCAGTGGTGGTGGCGAACCTATGCGACTCTTTCTCTATGCTTACTCGAGATCGAACTGAAGTGGACCCGGGACAACGAGCACAACGTCCTGAGAGAAGACGTGGAGTTGCTCATCATTCAAGCTTGGAGAACGGAGGTAGAGGGAGATCTGTTGGGATTCGTCTTCGGATCGGTGGAGGCGGGACATCGGCAGCCGATTGTAGGAGAGTTTCTAATCCTCCAAACGCAACTGCTGGACGATCTACCGATCGACATCATCTGGCACTGTGACGAGAGTCCGGCGCCTCATATTCTTTCGCGCAGCTTGACGCCGTACCTACAGTGGTCGGCGTGCTTGGAGGGCAATTGGGACAATTGTAATTACCCGTCACACGGTAATTACTTGAACCCCGCGGAGATAATCAATATTCTCTTTTTTGATCGGGGCGAGTCGACGTCGGACGACGAAGAGGAAGGAGACGAGGAGGAGGAGGACGAATCGGAAGGTACCCCCGAGGAGGACGAATATTATAGCGAGCATAGTGAGCATGCGTCAGGGGTGATACGCGAAGAAGAAGAAGAAGAAGCGGAGAGAGCAAGTGAGGGGGAAGAGGCGGGACAGGCGGAGACACAGAGAGAAGACCCTGCGGAAGCGGAGTGGCGGAGGGCAGAGATAGCGGACGAAAAGCGGTCATCGGAGCGGTCAGTGGGAACTGATCTGCCAATTTCGGACGACCCAACTCAAGATCCGGAGCCGCCGACGGAGGAAGATGAGCACCTTGCTGTAGACTTAAGATGAGCACCTTGCTGTAGACTTCTAGCGCGCCGATGCGGAGGCAACAGAGTGGCTCCCCCTCCCGTTCCCCTCGTCCCTCAGTTTAAACACGTTGCGATGCGGGGCATCGGGCTACGTCCCCGGTTATTATCCCGTCGTCCCCTTGATTACCTCACACTCCGGCAGATCGACACCCCGCCCTCATTTCCCCAACATCCCTTCCCATCTTCTCTCTTCTACCAATTCTACGCTACTCGCCCCGCCGTCGTAGTGTACCTGCATCCCACTACTCAGTGTGTCTCGTCATCTTTTTGCCTTCATGTCCTTCGTTTCAGCGCCGCGTGGCGGGGTTACAACGTGATCGAAGTCTACTGCACGATCACGAGAACTATTCCCATGTGTGCAGATCACGAGCAATTCCGTGCGGCCTTGTTTCGCACCTTTTCAACTCTCTATCCCGACTACCTTGCTTCTCTCCCCCATGGCAATCATCGCTTCCCGCGCATACACCGCACCATCAAGTACCTTGAGCTTCTCGGGACGGTAACGGGGATGGCAAATTTCTTGCCCGCACTTCCAAGTGAACATCCTCCATCCCCCGCCTCTGTATTCAGACTCCCTTACCCTCCTCCCTTGGGACATTAAAAGCGGGTGTGAGAATCACGACGTGTCAGCAGGATGACTTCCACACTCTTAACCTACGGTAATGACACATGTGATCTCTGCGAAATGATGAGTCCTTCTTTCTTCTTCTTGGCTTTGGAGAGATATGAGTGCAAGCGGGACTCTGCCAGAGCTTGCATAGGATGAAACCCCTTGGGCGTCACATATGTGACAAGCTCTTTTTCTGATAAGTGCCATCTTCTGCGCAACTGGGATTGGGGGTACATAGAAGGGACTGGGGATAAATTGCATGGCAGTCCCTCCTTCTTGGTTTTTCAACGTTTTCTTCTTGGTCCCTCGATAGAACGGAGGAGGGGGTTATAAAATTCGAGGTAGTTGGCCCGCGCCTTAGTGAGCGCAGGGGAATAATGTCTGCTATGTCCTTTTCCTTTCTTTTCTTTCTTTTTCGACAGAAGTCCATCTTTTTGACGCGACAATCGCACGGGGAATTCGTTCGAAATTTTAGAATTGGTGATGAGCCCGCGCGGCGCGCGGGTTCTCGGAATTTCTTTTTGCAATTAGGACCTTAATTAGACTAGGTAATTGAGTGCCTCATAATTCCTGTAACTGCACATCACTTCCTGCTTGCGCGCGCTTTGCTGCACCTGGGTTTGCGCTCTATTCCCGCCGCGCTTAAATCCTTTCCCTTTCCAGACGCGACAATCTCAACTGAAATCTCTTCTTGCTCTTTCTTTGCCTACGCAGATGTAACTGTAATATTCCCCTTTATTGATATTCTTTCCCGCGTCACTGCGTGCGCTCTCCCTTCTCTATCTCATTGGCCTGATCGGTTGATGACTAGATCGAAGCATGGAGTGAGGCTACGTCCCCCACGCCGCAGTCCCGGCATGCAGCCGTAGGCACTTCCTCCTTCCTTTCTCCAATTCTTCTCTGGCAATCCCGGTTATTGCGCGTTGATGTGCAAGCTATAAATTCCACAAGCGCGATTAATGGACTCTCTAATCCACTTGGGAGTTAGCGAGGTCGAGAGGATCGACTAACGAGCGAAAAGACGGTGAGTAGAGAGTCGGGCGATCCGACGAGCTGGTGTTGAGTATGCGGGGTTGACGCGTGGCCGCGAGGGACTGTGGCACGCGGGCGAGCCTGGCTTGCATGCTTGGGCCAAGCGGGGTGACGGCTCTGTATGGTTTGGAAGTGCGGGGCGACGGACTGCCCGCACCAGAAAGATACACACAGAGAGAGAGAGAGAGAGAGAGAGAGAGAGAGAGAGAGAGAGAGAG